CTGTCTCAATTTTCATTGCATCTATACTCAAATACAGCCACATCCATTTGGAAGATAAAGGTTAAAAAGGAAATTTACTATAAAAGCTCTGATAATTGAAAGATCCAAGAAGAGAAAACATAAGGAAATTTGCAAGGGCAAACATATTTATATAATTTTTTGTGAAAGAGAAATATGTGTTAGAGGAAAATATTACTTATTTCTTGATGTATAGGGGTTCTTTTGCCTCTTGCCTGTAATCTAGGGACAAATGCACATGAGATTTCTTGGAAAGGAGCTCATATGGGTCCTATGTTATCAGGACACAAGCACATTTATTTTTCCATCTTTAGTCACAGAGACTCTTTTTGAAATTGCAAAATACAGTTGTTTAAAGAAGGAAAGAAATCTATTATATCAAACCAAAGTTGTGATTTTTACATGACAAAATGTTTTATAAATCAAAACAGGCCCATTTATTTTAATGTAAACTCTCAGAAATATGTTTAACTAAGAGTTAAGTCAATGTAGTAATTATAAATCTCATTAATCTGCATATTTTAATAAGTCTTATTTTAAGCAAACTGTATTATGACTCAGTCACTTGTCTTATGTAGGAACAGCAAAATGGGAATTTTCACTCATACGTTAACAGATTATTTTGTTAAAACATGTCAAATAGGCTGCCTGTATTTTGGAGAGAGCTTTTGGTTTATTTAGAAAAAGAATTTCTAACTGAATTAATCTGGAAAAATAATAGAGAATTATAGCTATCATTTGCTTGAAAACACTGGACCTAGTGAATTTTTTCCCCAAAAATAAGTTAAACACTATCAGAATTGTAAGAAAACAAAAACTGAGGTTTTGAATATATTACACAACATTCGTAACTCTTGGATAACAGGCCAATTATCCACATCATTCATGTATTCTTTATATAATCAGGCTTCAACTAAAGTTAAAAAGAATTTTCTGTACTTGACATTTGGATGAGCATTTGGTAGGGGAAATCAGACCTTTTCCTTAAGCCTCTCTAATCCACATTTACAAACAAGTACTTTGTAGATAAACTTCCAAGAAATTTGCTCTCACAATTGTTTGCTGTGCAAGGAGCTGGGGCATGATTTGGTTTGCAAGATGAAACTAATGAATGCTTATCCATTTCCAAGCCGAGGCTTTGTTTAATGCCCTTCCATGCCTTCCTACCCCCAATCCTGAATTCAGTTAAAGTTCAACCATTTGGGTTTTGAGTGCAGTGCAGCGAAACTGTGATTGATACCATCGGGCACTGAAACTGTACTTTGCTGCTGGGTCAAGCAGCCAGGCGAGAGGAAAGTGCTGCCAACCCTATTATAAAATCCCTGCCTGTTATGATAACGCTGAGAGCTGCCAGCACAATGTAGCAGAGAAGGCAAATTCTCTTATTGTTCTCTCTTCATGAATCAGGATGCTATGAGTCAACGAGAGCCCACTGGGCCTTCTACTAAGGACCCTGTCTCTATTAAGTAGCTCCTAGTGGAATCCAGTGTGTAGTAGCCCACTTGACCTTTAAAGACCCTCTCTAGTGGGTGACTGATTTTCAGAGCTCCTCCAAGGAGAATTGAGTCTATTTATTGTTGTATATTACCAGTAAGTATCTGTTATTTCTGTGGTTCTCTACTACTCAAGTGGCGCTTGTAAATGTACATGATTCATCCTTCCAACTCTCTTAACTGAGACTGGGGGCCAACAAGGCCACAGTGAATACTCCTTCCTGCCTGTCTGAGTGTATTTGCACTGTGAGGGATATATTGATAAGTTAATAAGCCACCTGTGAATTCTGATAACTCAAGAACTGTTCCTCAGAACCTCTTTCTGTTCTGACTTCTGCTGTAGTAAGCAGGCTTTATGAAGGAGTGGAAGAAGTCATTCTGATTCGAGACGCCTGGAGGTTATTCAACCAACAGATAGATTACTTGTCCTGATGATGGACAGCTCAAAAGAGAGGTCTTCTGATGGTAACAGGCTGCATGTATGCATTATGGCCAATAGAACACCATTGTCAGAAGTAATTGTAACAATAAGTCCAGTGTGTCTAAAATCTGTTGTTTTTTTTTTATCCTATAGCTCAACATTGGCAAAACTAATATAATCTTTAGAGAATTATCATATTATCTCTTTCCCAATCTAGTCCTATTCCTAACAGTCTCAGGAATAGAATTGTTGTTGGGTGCCATCAAGTGGAGTATGACTCATGGTAACCTATGAACAGCAAAACTGAACCCTACCCTATGCCATCCTCCCAATCTCTGACACACTTGAGCCCATTGCTGCAGTCACTGTGTGATCTCATTGAAGATCTTCCTTTCACCTTCCCAAGCATGATGTCCCTCCAATGAATAGTCCCTTAGCAGCATGGTCTTCACAATTACTTGCTGTGCATCACGGAGCTGGACAATAACTAAGGATGATAGAAAAAGAATTGATGCTTTTGAGCTGTGGTTCTGGAAGAGCACTGAATATACCATGTACTGCTAGGAGAACAACAGGTCTGTTCTGGAGAGAGTGAAACCAGGTTACTGCTTGGAGGCAAGGATTTTGAAGTTCCTTCTCACATACTTGGGTATGTTGCAAGGAGGGACCAATCCTTGGAGGGGGACATCAAGCTTGGAAGGGTGGAAGGACAGCTCAGGAAAGGAAGACCCTGGTGAGATGGATTGACTGAGTGATTGTAGTAATGTGGGTAGGTTTGTTAGAGAAAATAAAATTGGCTTGAGATAGAGCAGGGTTCAGAGCTGTTGTGCATAGGGTTGCAATGAATTGCTTTAAGTGACTCGAAGGCACATAATAAGTAACATGCCCAAAGTATGTGAGATGAAACTTTATTATCTTTGCCTTCGTGGAGCACTCTGGCTGGACTTTTGGCAATCCATGGAGAATTAAGTACTCTTCTCCAATACCACAGTTCAAAGACATCAATTTGGTCATCCTTACTCATTGTCTGACTCTCAGCAGCATAGCAAGTGATTAAAAAGATGCCTGAATAAGGCATCCCCAAACTAACGTCATTGCTCCTCAATATAGTCTTTAGAGAACTCATATTGTGTTTTTTTCCAATCTAATCCTATGCTAATGCATAACATTCTCAGAAATAATTGTTGCATAAGGGGATGTTGAATATCATTCTCTACACGTAGGGCACCTCTAGGAGCAGTGGGTAACATTTTCTCCTCTAGATGTAGCCTTGGGCAAATGACTTTTACTCTGGAATTTCAGACTTTCAGTAGGAAAATTAGGTTATATATATAACCATATATATATATATATGTGTGTGTATTAATATAATATATGATATTATGTATATATTCTTTATCACTCAGTTCCTTTTGATTATCTGACATTTCCATCTTTGCTGTTGTTGCTGTGTACCATTGTACCATTGAGGCAGAACCAACCCATAGCTCTCTGGCTATAAATCACACAGGAGGAGATTGTCCATCTTCCTCCCAAGGAGTAACTGATAGATTCAAACCTCATGCCTTGAGATTGGCAGCACAAGTCCTTGCCACTAAGCCACGAGAGCACCCTTTTGTGTCTTTGGTGGTTCTCTTTTTCTACCATTCCTCAGTCATGGACCAGTGTCTGTGGAGCCTCTGCTCTGTGCTCAGTGTCTCTAGGTTTTACATTTCTCTCTTGCCTTCCAGGTTCAGTGTTCTGCTCTGCTCTGTATTCTTAGGACCTCTGTGCACATTCTTAGCTGGAGGGTTTGACCACTCTTTGTTGCTTATTATTTGATTATTTCATCTGTCATCCTTTTGGGCCATCAGCTCCATGAGGCAAAGGAATACATCTAATATTGTGCTTAACCCATTATGAACTGGAGTAAATATGTGTAGAATGAATGAGTGAGCAAATGAATTAAGTAATGAAAGAATGAGTGATTGTATTTATAGTTCTGATCACTTTTCGTTCCTGCTTGGTGGAAATGTGAGAGCCTTGGCACAATGCACCAGGGTGCTGTTATTAGCCTGTCACTAAGACTCATCAACTTGCTTTTGATGAAGTGCCTCTCTGATGGATTTTTCATTGCCAAGTGAGGAGCCCAAAATAAAAATGATCTTTCTAGAGATACAGCACTAAAAATGAGATTCTTCGTTGTATAAATTACCTACAGGCATAGGGCTTAAAATTAATTCGATCAGGTCTGGTAGTTAAATCAGAAATTCAAATGACTTTTCTATTGCAACTCATAGTAGTAGATCTTTGTTTTCTGCAGGGCTGCTCTGTGTCGTGTTGCTATGATGCATAAGGATTCAGTTCCAGGTTTTGAAAGTGAATGAGAAGTTCAGGGACCAAATAAGACAAGGATCAGAAAAATGCTTTTGATGTAGTTAGTGGCTTTTAGAATATATTAGTACACAATTCTAAAGCAGTGAGAGACTTTTCTGGACTTTGTTTTTCCCCCTTTCTATTTCATGTCTGACTCCACCAGCTCCACTTTTACTTTCTTAACAAGAAAAATATGTTAGCATTTATATTCTGTCCCTCAAGAAGGGATCTTAAAAACTATAAAAAAAGGAAAGTGAAAACCAATGCAAAAGTATTCATGGGAAGGTATCATATGTTTATTATTCTGAAGATTAGAGATTAAGAAGTTTATGCAAGTATTTGAAGTGACAACTTTATGGTAAACATACATGGCTTTCCCCAGGTGACTTTACTCAGGTTTAAAAGAAATAGAAATTTAAGAAGAAAAATTAACACAATTGTAAATTTTACTGTATTAATGTGTATGCATGTTTAGTGATGTTTACATTTTGAAATAAAATTTATGATTCATTAAAAAAATAGAAGTTTGCTGATTTAATTGAAGGAAATAACTTTAAATTGTCACTCTCAAGATAAAATACAAGCAAAATTTTTAGTAATTTATAATTATATATATGAAATATAGTATGTGTTATGTGATTTATATGGCATATGTAATTTTTATATTCTTCTATGGTGATATGAATTATTTCCTTTGTTTTTCTCTTCCTCAGATTTTTATCACTGTGAATTGCCTGAGTACAGATTTCTCCTCCCAAAAAGGAGTGAAAGGACTTCCTTTGATGATTCAGATTGATACCTACAGTTATAATAATCGTAGCAATAAACCTATTCATAGAGCTTATTGCCAGATCAAGGTCTTCTGTGACAAAGTAAGTAAAGGTGACAATTTGTCATAAAGGTATCTTTGTTATTAGATATTGATTTTAATGCTTTATCACCATCTTTTGTCTAATGGTTTCAAAATAATTGCCTTTTCAATCACACCAGGAGTGGTAATCTTTTATTATGAGTTCTTAGTAGCTATTTTGATAGTTGTCTGTCAACTGTCTTTTTTTTTTTTTTGGCAATTATTTTTACCACTGATTTGATGACTGATTGGCAAAACTGTACCATGAGTCTGAATCAATTATATTGCTGAACTATGAAATTAATAATTTTAGTACATATATTCTTCCAGAATATGTCAGTGTCACCTTTATTATTCTCTGTGTTAAACGGTACCCTATATAGGACTTTTTTGGAATGGAAATAATAGCTATAAAATAAGTTATTAATTAGCATGCATTTAGATGACAGTAATTTTCTTAATCTTCTTGAATCCGGCCATAAGAGAGGAAACAATTAGAATAGCAAAGCATACAATTTCGCGATTAGGTAATAAGATGTCTCCAAACTGAAAAAGCAAAAATGCTTTGCCAATTTCAAGAAAGTTCAGAGAGAAAACAAGAGGGCCGCTTGATGAATGAAGAACAAGAAACCTACACAATTGCCCAAAGCTGTTTACTGAAATGTGGGCCACCAGAGATAGCATATGAACCTGAGGTGGGAGGCATGACTTCTGCCAACTCTAATGTGTCTCTCAGCACATGAGAATTGAATGTTCAAGTGGCATGAATCTGATGACAACTTACAAGTCACAAAGTTTTGTCCCCAGAACAAAAATCGTACCCAAAAGAAAAAAATTTCTGGGAGTAGAATCCAAATAGAGTGATTTTAGGTGCTGTCTAGTTGAGCACAATTCATAACAACCCATTGAACACAGATATGAGCTGTAAGCTCAGATACAAATGAGGAAGGGATGTCGTTGTTGTTGTTGTTATGTGCCGTCGAGTCATTTGTGACTCATAGCGACCCTATGCACAACAGCCCTAAATCCTGCTCTATCCTGCGCCAACCGCATTGCCTCTGACACACCCATCCCAATTACCCCAGTCACCAAATCAATCCATCTCATAGAGGGTCTTCCTCTC